ATATAGTATTCTTCTCGCCACGGCTGTATCAAGAATGTCAGACATAGTTACGTACATGCTGGTTCAATGTACCCGGGGCATGTCAATGCTCGGTAAGTGGATTGTACCACTTAACGGACCATCTCGTACTAGAGACCGTAATGTCTCCGTGTAACCCTGCTCTTAGTGATAAGTATGATGGGCTTTAAGAGGGTTCGATATGTGTGACTATCATCACGTACAGGACCTGCTGCTTATAACCACTTTCCATTACCCGCAGACATTCAACTAGCAACCAATACTTGACAGATTGATCAACAGATTCGGTAAAAAAGAATTAGAATTGTCGCCATTTCTGTCGCTTTGCTGTTGGAACTTTCGTCACCAGTCAGTCTGACTGGCACCACCGCCTCCCTCCTGTCAGCTCCAAGGCCACGCCTCTTCATAGACACTACACGGGGGTATTGAAACACTAGAGAGCACTTAACGGAAAATGTTAATGTATTGTGTAGTAACTTAGCGTAGGCTTACAGCGACGTTGCACATGCTTATATTGATATTGACCAAGTAAGGGGAGGTAAAGGGGCGATTTATATAATTATTGATTATGCACTTGGCGAAACTCGTGAAAACGATCGGTTCTGCCGTTTACAACAAAGGCGTCGGAGCGCGGCGGTACGGCCAGCCGTGACATTAGTGTGTGCGTACCGCCGGTAATACATCAATAAGTCGTCCACTCCAAAGACGGCTTAGATGTGAGATAGCGATCGATTTCACGTCTGTAGCTCTCTTCAGTCTGAGTGTCTTTGGAGATCAATCCCGTGTCCGGGCCTTTGACCGGCTCCTTCAGGCACAACTCAGAAATTAATGACGGCAGCCGGGACGTTCCGGTCCTGATGAACTGCCTGGAGCGCACCGGTACATGACAGAGTAACGGGGATCAATGAGTAACTTTCTAGCCTTGATGAAATGAAGCGGCACTAAATGTATTTCATCTACATTTCCTTAAAATCGAAAGATCAAAAGTCTTCCTTGCATAGACTTCCTCAAGACATAGCCTCGACTACTGTCTCAATCTTTTTGGCCAAACTTTTCTTTTATTCGCACGCTCGCGTCAGTTTTGGGGTTCCCAGAGGATATTATCCATTTAATCTAATCAACATGGCCTTATAACAAAACTAGCGTGTTTTGTTCTTCTTTTTTAACTTGGAGGTCCAGAGGGGGAAAACTTTTACTGCTGATTCCTGGTAACGTATATGACGTTTCCGACAAGCTTAAGATATTACCATTGTCAATGCCATTATTAGTTTTAGCTTTTGAATTATTACAAAGAAATCCCAGGAAGGATTTAGTGAATATGACTAGTTCCAGTTCAGTTCAGTTTAGATTCATTGGAATCAACATACACGTCACATATACAGTATTGTATGATAACATGAAATCTGTTAATTCTACCATTAAAATCGTACTTACATGATAAAGGGATCATGTCTAGCAAATTACACAAAAATGACAGTACATATTTAAAACATATTTAAAGGCAGCTGGCACATATATCATTAAAAGCAATAAGATAAAATCAAGCCTCTTCTGTTACGTGATATCAATACAGATTAGCTCAATATAGGAGTTTGATGATGATGAATGGGTTATTGAGACAAGGACATTATAATGTTCTTGTTGAGATGAAAATATATTGCAACCCCAGGCTAAGTCATCATTAAAGTAATCGTAAAGTTTAGCAGTCAGGTAGAACATCAAAAAGAATGATATCTGTAAACAAAAGAAATATTATTGCGGTGTACAAGCCAAAATTGTGTTATTTACATCTGACCATCGTTGAGCAATCTGGCAAAATACCGTATAGTATCTTGTACGTTTAAATCTACAAACAGTTGTGATTTAATCTTTTAACGTATTTGTACTATAGACTGTTATTTTTAAACTCGAGGGCGAATAGCTTTTGTATAAAATTATGTATTTTGCATGTGTATGAAAGCTAATGAAGTCTCCAAGTATTGGGCCCCATTCCCAATAGGATAAAATTGTCCGGATCGGGCCGGCTTCAAGCCGGATCGAGCTGGTTCGAAGCCGGATCAAAGCGAATCAATTCGGCTCGATCCGGACAATTCAACCCTAGTGGTGATTCTCTGGATCTGTTCTACATTTCTATGCTGATCCACGTAGCATTGAAGCACATCAAGGTGACAGCTAGCCTGAGAGGCGCTCTCTCCTCTCTACCCGTCAGCGTCATTCATTACTCCTGGCCAGGTTCATCCCAGCCTCAATCAATCTATTTCTCTAAGGTGACATGAGGACGCCCGACTCTACCCTTAATCGTTGGTCTATTCACATTCCCCGCATGTAGGGGCCGCCGAAATGGTGACTTCCGACATTAATTGCTTCCCTGTACCTGACACGATAAAGACAATATTGCGACTAAATCTCACACATGAGAGAAGTCAGTATCCGTATCTGCGATGCAATTGACACGCACCAGGGGAATCCGTGTCTGTCAGCGCAGTACATACAGTTACACTGCGGCGGCCTGTGCGTCACCTCAGATGACTTCTTCAGCTAAATCCCAGTCAAACTACATGTTCTATCTAATACCATCTCAGAAAAGAACAAGGCATAGCCATGCCTTCAAGTACCGGAATTATCAACCAATAAGGATTGAGGTGTTCAAAAACTCATATTCTGTCCTAGAACTATCGCAGAGTGGAACTCGCTATCACCAATTACAGTGGGGGCATTATCATTAGATAGCTTTAAACAATGTTTAGAGTTAGATGTTCAAGGGTGTAACACGTCGTTCGGTGTGATGTAGCCAGCTGCCGCCGCGCCGCGTGCCTGCGAAGCTGGTGTGTTACGCCGAATGGTGGTTATACCGGCTATACTGATACGGAAGCTGGTGTGTTACGCCGAAGGGTGGTTATATATACCGGCTACACCGATGCAGATACAGATATAGATACAGAAACTTAGTTCAACATCATGTCTCAGAGACAGCTCTCAGTAGGCTCCCCCCCCCCCCAAAAAAGCCTCCAGACATGCGCGAAAAAACCTCCCTTACCTTAAACCATTCTAATACCAGAAGCCATTCATGCAAGCTGATGCCGCGTTGCAATCAGAAAACAAATCATAGCCCAACACGATTCCATTCCTTTCTTTCATCCTGCTGTGTTTGTTTCTGCACTTGTTGCCGAGGAGAGCAAACACATCTGTCCCTGTAACCCCGGGTACGGACTAAGAATAGACTCCTCTGTATGTGGAGTCTTAAGCTTTGGATGTTGTTTGGAGCTCCGGGAATGGATGGCGACTGCTGAAGTCTAAGGAAATAAGGCCATGTTGATGTGATGATATGGATGACATCCACGCGCGCATCAATTTTCGTCCGTTCCCCAAAAAAGGTTTCAATCATACTGTACAAAACAGTTGGAGAAGGAGTAGATATACCGTAAGTTGCAAAAAAAATTGTAAAACGATACCAATGTCGTAGAATGCCAAAATCAAACGAAACAAAATGTAAAGAAATGAATTTGAAAATGACCTCCAAAGTCTAACCATGATTACCATAGTCAACGACATTATACAAGTCCTTGCCATATAGCATAGTTTAACAACGTTTTTCAATAACCTTCAAGATACATGTATAACGATGTTTCAATAACATTCAAGGTGTAGCAATGACCTCCAATCTCAACGATATCTTAATTATCATCAAGTATAACAATGATATTTGAAAGACCCCCCAAGGCCTAACAACTACATGTATACTTCAATTATCTCAGAGATTTTCTGATTACCTTTCAATGATTCCAAAGGTATTCAAATGATCTTCGGCGATCTCAATGGCCGGTGACATTTGGTGGGCGGATTGGTCTATTATTTACGAGAAGGTTTTCGGCATCTCAAATCATAGTGGAAAGACCGAGCCACGATTCCCATTTTAAGTGGGTTGAACGAAAATGAACACATTGGAATATTGACGACAGCCATAATGAAATACAAACACTTTTGCGCTGGCAATCTAACGAAAAATTACCCCCATTAGCCCACGAAGTTAATACAGTCAGTCTGTGTGTCTTGTACTGTCAGCGACGTGGATAAATGTCAGTATTGGTGAGATAAGGTTAGAGACTCAGGTGTTCCTGCTAAATCAATATTGTGTCTGTGTATTACCCTCTTCCTAACGATCGTATGCCCACATCGAACGCTGGAAATAGCGGAGAGAATCAGCTAGCACCAGAGGATAAGTGGGTACTAAGAGTAGAGTAGAGTAGAGTACAGTACAGTACAGTAGAGTTTCTTCGGCTAGGTAGGAGCTTTGGTTCCAGTTTAGGTCGCTCTTTGCTTTCCGTGCACTACTGACATCTCAGGCATCTGGGGATGGGCTGTAGGGCATCTGGGGATGGGTTATAGTACTGTATGTACTGTATGTTAAACTAACTGATGTAGGGATGCATCATTCGTAGCTTTGGAACAATGACTGAGGTGGAATGCTGAGATGGAATTCTGATGCAGGGATACATCTTACATGTCTTTGCCGAGAGGCATGCTTGACTTTGAGAAGCCTGGATATTTGATGGCCGTTTCATAGCATTGGACGATACTTGAGATGCTGTGGTAAAGATGACGATAAAGTGTAGCTGTGGAGTAGATGTAGCAGGGTTTATGTATTCAACACAAGGCACAACTGGCAACCATAACAGAGATCTATACACTGACATATTTTTCAGCATATACACCATACTTCACTATACTCGAGTGTTTCATGTACATTTTCTTTACTGAATAGAGATCTACCACGGAGGCTCGGGGTGACTATCTGATGTAGCTGAAGGCGTGTTATCACCGTCCTATCATCACCCTTGTCTCATCATCACTGACGCTCAGACCGGACATGGGGTTATATAAGGAAAGCCGTGATTGGCTCCATCTCGCTTAGGAGAATCAAGAACCACAGGTGCTCCTTTCAAACGGTGCGCAATCTTGGTATTCAGCTCACATCTGTCAGACTAAAAGATATACCTGCAAGACTTCTTGAAAAGCGGAGGCTTAGCCGAACAGGCAAGGTAAGTCCGCTGCAGTGTGGTATCACAATGATGGGAGTACTATTAATCCTTGCGTAGGATTTTCATCAGTTCAACATATGTTGAAACATGTTTTCATTTTACTCTCTTATTCTATCCAGTCATCTGGAATACTGTACAACGTTATCTCGGAGACTCAACCGATCCAGCCTCTGAACAACGTGCGGTAGTCACTATAAAACTGCCGTCAGTCTAACTCCTCAACATATGCAGAACACATAAACTAAGGACATTATTTATCTGTCAAACTGTAAAGCCCTATAGCTTCTGGCCTGAACACTGATGCAACAAGGCGTACCGAGAAACAGAAACAGTAGACACGAATCGTACTGTCTGGCAAGTCGTGACAAGAGGAGTGAGGGACCAGCATAGCATGCACCTGGTCTAAAAAAGGAGCTACGTAGCTGTTCTGCTTAGCAGGCCATAATTTGTAGAAAGGGACTGTACACTTTATTAGGCAGCCAAGAACTGACAGAAGCAGAACCGTGCTTCCAGGCGAGACCAGCAACTGGTCTGAACATTTCGTAAGCCAGACATATCCAGAACAGAAACAGCAGCTGAGGACCGAGCTGCCTGTGTAGTCATAACAAAGGCGCAGTACTTGACGTAAGTACCTAGACACTAGACGTATCCAAACCAGGACCAGACAGAGCGATGGCTGTCGGTAACATGTCCCTGCTGAACGTCACGGCGGCCCAGACGCCCCTCCCCATCCACGGCGCGCCGCTGGTCAGCCCGTCCCTGCCCTTCATCCTGCCCGTGGTGTTCTCGGTGGTGTACGTGGTGGGGCTGGTCGGGAACGTCACCGTGCTGCTGTGTGTGGGCCGGCGGGGCGTCAGGAGCAGCATGTGCGTGTACGTGCTCAGCCTAGCCACGGCAGACACCGTCTACCTGCTCGGGGGACCCTTCTTCCTCGCATCGTTCCTGGTACAGCCCAGATGGGTGAGTTAACGTTATCTTATCTTGTCTCACATTATAATCAATAGATAACATTCTTTTTCCGTTGACAAGTCTCATATGACAAGTCTCTGTTACCTATGATGGGTGAGTTAACGCTATCTTATCTTGTCTTACATTCGTAACATTTAATAGGTAACATTCCTTCTCCTATGACAAGTCTTTTCTCTGTTACCTATGATGGGTGAGTTATCCTATCTTATCTCGTCTCACATTCGTAACATTCAATAGGTAGCATTCCTTATCTTATGACAAGTCTTTTCTCTTTTGCCTATGATGGGTGAGTTATCTTGTCTTATCTTGTCTAGCAGTAAATATATTCGATAGGTATCATTCTTTCTCCTATGACAAGTCTTTTCTCTGTTGCCTACGATGGGTGAGTTTTATCTTGTCGTATCTTGTCTCGCAGTTATCATATTCGATACGTGACATTCTTACTCTGATGACGATCTTCTAGGTACAACCGAGATGGTACTCTCCAAGCAGATGTTTCAGTTGTCGAGATTTCTTTCTTCTTCTTTTTTCTCTCTTCTGAAGAAAGAAATCACGGCCACTACTAAGGGGAACAAACACCATCAAAATAACACCTGGCGAAAACCTCTCCTTGGAGAGTGCCGAAGTAGAAGTCTTGTCTCATATCTTCCAAATTCAACAGGTTTTTAAGGGAGGGCCAACTACATTCATATACATTTACATTCTCTTTTGAATTACTTCATTCCCAAGACAGCACTGAGAAAAAGTTGTAGCAACATTGCTTTCTGGAACAGCCGGTAAATGGGTAATGCAATCTGACGCCTTGCCATTCAACAAATATGAAAGAAAAAGAGTAATAAGTATTAGTTAGAGAGATCTGTAACGTTGGGCGACTTTACAGGCATGTCTTATGTTTAATGTACTGAGAAGGACAAAGCTAAAGGCAGCATTTTCAAAGCGTTAATGTAACATGATTGTAACCTTATGAAAACACCGCCATAAGTCCTGGGTATTTTCTAGTATTGATATTGTTCTGTCAGAGCGACGATCTCGCTTTCCTGTGAAAAGTTCACTTTCATCTTCCATTAGCACATTGCCGTGTTTGCGAGGGCGTGGATTGGTCCACGAGTGGTGTGTAGTGATAGACATGAAGCCCTTGCCATTACCGTGCTTTCTACTTCAGCCAGTCCCAATCACAACAGCGCTGAGTGTTTATTGAGAGGGGGTATGCCCTTTCACACGGATTAGGTGGTAAACAGCTACCACTTTGCAATAAATCCTCGTATGAGCACGAGATACTAAAATTACATTCAAGGATCCAGAGGACTAACACACCCTTTACACTTAAGACTGAGAATGTTAAGCAGCCAAACATTTAAAAGGCCACTCAACGCGTTTTAGACATGAAGAACTAATCTTTTAATGTCTCGTATGCCTTTTAAATCATATTTCTATATGGCGCATCTTATTCCAATTATGAAATTATGATATGGTCGCTTTACAGTCGTCGCTTAATGGTAAGATTCCGTGCTGGAAAGGGGTCTAAAAGACAATCTAAATGATTGTTAGCAGGAAGGAGTCTTTATCAGTTTAACAGTTTTATTCAGAAAATCAGCCTCGCAGCATGTACAACAAGCTGAATAACACTAATTTGTACAATTGTATGGCAAATAAAAATTCACACGGCAATACATAACAGAGAAAAACACAAGGCTATTCAGAATGGTTCACAATGGGCATCAAAGTAAAGAGAATGCGCGACTCGGAACTAAGAGTCCCGAGTTCGAGTCCTGACATGCCACCGATCTTGTGCCCTTGGGGAAGGCACTTTACACGACTTTCCTCACTTAGCTCAGGTGTAAATGAGTATTGTCCTGTCGTGTATTTGTCTCCTGTGTTGGTGTTGGTAATATAAGTTGAAAAAACTTGAGTGTGTCGTCACCACGTCTGGTGATTACATGTTGGAATAAAAAAAAGACAAGAATGATCTAGAACTTAGAAGAGTTACTGAGAAGACTTGTACAGGCGTATGGCCTGGTTCAAAAACTAGTTTTTCAGTTTTTGTGTACTGGCTGCCGGCACCGTCAGTGCTGTGCCGTAAAGTCCTCCCACTGAGCGCCCGTTGTCCTGGGCGGTTTAGTTTCCTATTTCCTACTATGCATGATGTACAAAATGACTAATAAACTGGTGGATGTCCCAACTACTAAGTACCTAATACCAGCCCAGAAGAGAACAAGAAATAGCCACGCATTCAAGTACCAGAGTTATCAACCGAGGATTGAGGTGTTCAAGAATTCATTCTTTCCTAGAACTATCGCAGAGTGGAACTCACTGTCACCAAGTACAGTAGGGGCATTGTCAATAGATAGCTTTAAACAATGTCTAGAGCTAGAAGTTCAAGGGTTAGGTGTAACAAGTCGATCGGTGTAATATAGCCAGCTGCCGCCGCGCCGCGTGCCTGCGAAGCTGGTGTGTTACGCCGAAAGGCGGTTATACCGGCTATACAGATACAGATACAGATATTTGCTTTCAGCCTTTAAAAAGCAATATATCACGTTCTTCCTTTCCATCATTGGAAATGGATAAAATCCTGCCGATGGCACCGATAGATAAACATCCTCATTTTATTCTCCCGTCCATGTACTTTTGGCGAGAGCGCCTTGATGACTTGGCTTGTCTTGACTTTGGTTTTGAAAATGTATGAACTATGCATGCATTCTCATGTAAGATCTCACTGCATACATCTTTGATAAAGAAATGTTTTGTAGAGGCGGTAGGATGGGTGATACGTGCTGCCTACTTCCCTCAACGACAAGACGAACTCC